TTTATTATTATTCTGTTTACAGGTTGTTTGACATCTCCAACGAGGGCTTCAGGGACTGGGAGTTTATGACAGTTCATTTTTGGGGTGAGCGATCAGAGGGCAGGTGGACACTGGAGATCACTGACTCACCTTCAAAGCTGCGTAACCCTGAGGTGCTGGGTGAGATCCATCAGGACAGAAACACCTGAATTTATATTACTTTTGAATCAGCCATTTTCTTAATAGACTTATAGCTTTGTTGCTATTAAAAAGACTTTTATCATAAGTAATTATCACTAAAAATGTWATTTTTGCACAGGCAGCCTTAAAGAGTGGACTCTGATCCTTTATGGTACGTCTCAAAACCCATACCAGCAGCACTCTGTTCCGCTCTCCTACTCGAAAACATTGGAGAACACYGAGGTCGTGGAAGTGCCAGAGCTCCAGGAAGAAGAGGAGGAACAAGAGTACAATGGTSAGAAAATACATCCATGTACTGTCTTTGACCTTGATTTTACTTTTTTTGGGTTTTGGGGTAGCTGGCGCCTATTTGCTGCTCTCATTGTGCAATGGACAGATTGCTAAAGTTAAAGGGGCAATATTATGCRTTTCTCAGGCATATATTTAAATACTATACCATAATAAAGGATCTATGTCACCTTTAGCTGTTATTAAAATGCTGTTTTTATGTTTAAATAGAAAATAAACTTATCTTCTCATCACTTCCTCTTCTAAACATCTTGAAATTGGCCTCTGTCTCTTTAAGAACCATATTCCGCTTCCGTCCCATGGGTTTCGGTTTACTTGGCATCTGAAAATACATTTCCTCAAAGGTATTTTGAATCTGAAAAGAGCTTCACTGAGTGAGCAGTAGTGTTAAGAGCAGCAGACAGTTTTAAGTTTCACTTTCACTTTGCTCTGTTACTGCTGAGAGCCTGTAGGAGTCATGGGTGGGGTGTGGGGAGGTGTGCTCTGTGATGAGGAAGTTCGGCTGAAAGACATGTCCTAGAGGGGTTTCTGGTATCAAAAGTCGTTTCTGGTCCCCACCTGTCGTTTTGCTCCTCAGCATGGCTGCCTAAAAACGCTGCAGGATTTCTCAAACATGCATGAATGAGTCAAAGCAAGGCTTTGGRCATGTTTTTTATGATAGTATAACATTATAACATGATATAAAACTCCAAAAAGTTTATTACCTCCACCAAGGGGAGGAGGTAATGTTTTCGGTTGCGTATGTCTGTCTGTCGTTCTGTCTGTGGACAACATTACTCAAAAACTTGTGGACGAATTGTCATGACATTTTTACCACATGTGGGTACTGGCCCAAGGCACACACCATTAAATGTTGGTGATGTTCCGGATCACTCGCTTCCAAAATAAATAAATAAACAAAGTTTAAAAAAAAACCCACTCGCTTCATGAGCAGAGCACTTTATAAAGACAGTCAAACCATTACAAACTCATACAAGGGGATAAAACAGACGTTTTACACGGTGAAATGTGACTGATGAAAACTTAGGAGCTTAATCCGACACCAGTTTGACGATGAATAACGTCAGGTGACGAGTCTGACTTTTCTTTTTCACATTGGACTCCACCGAGAAGAAATCCCATGCATACTGCCTGCTTAAATGTTAGCTACGTCAGAACTTATTCGGCAAATGTGTTTCCATCTCTGCTTTTGTGCATGAACTCTTACAGGATGGGGGAAATTAGTCTTGGTGGAGGTTTGCACTCTTCGAGTGCTTCTAGTTTTACATGATATTGCCCCTTTAAAGGTGTCAAAATATAAGCAGTGAAGCATCCTTATTGCTACCTCGCCCACAATAAAACCTATACAATAAATAAGTAAGTAAATAAATAAATAAATAAATAAATAAATAAATAAATAAATAAATAAATAAATAAATAACACACACAGCAAAATATATGGCTTGATTAGGAATAATGTGCTCTAATTTTTGGTAGCAACATATTAAATAGAATAGAATAGAAATACTGAAAGGTTTTCCCATGGACACTTATGGGGTTTTGGCAAGACAAACGAGAAAACCTCATGCATACCTTTACTTTCAAAGTTTAAAAGAGTCAATGAAAGTTTTAGTTTTTATTAGAAGATTTTTCTTTTAGAATGTTCTCTTCTAAACTGGAAGTGAAGGATCTTTTTAGCGTGTCACTGTAGACATAAATATGTACATGTGATGACTATGTACAAATTAGAAATGTTTTTTTCAATATAGCTGTTTTCACAGTTTCTTTGAGGCTACTCTGTGTTTCTGTCTGCCAGTCTTAATAAGAATGCTCTCATGGAGTTACAGACTAACACTGGTGTGTGGCTATTATAGTGACCTCAAAGAGCAGATTATACATAAAACCATTAGCATTTTGTCATCTTAGATTAGAATATACATAACAACAGTAAGTCCCAAATTATTTACTGGGGACATTGGGATTATTATGTATATTGAAGTTTCTGTTTGTAGTTAGTTGACTAGTAGTTAGCTGGTTAAATATAGATAAATAAATTTAGATTTTTTTATTATTGAGGTAGAACATTTCATACATTAAGATAAAATGCACACTCTAAATACCAACTATGCATTAAGGTCTTGTTGTGTTAATTAATTAATGTTGCTAATATTAATAACAACAGCTCTTGTGTTAATGATGGTGTTAATCATGATGCTGTCCATTAAGGGCCATGCCACAGTGAATGTGCAGACCAGGGCTGTGATGGACCCAACACTGAACACTGTCTCAACTGTGTCCACTTCAGTTTGGGCAACTTAAAAACTGGCAGGTAGGAGATCACAAAACAAATAGATACTGAGCACACGTCTCTCTAATTCCTGAAAGTCTGACTACTTAAATGAGCTCTGAAACAAAATAAAATCTGTTTTTTTCTTTAATAACTCTTCTTGCATGTTGCTGTGTGTTTGTAGAACCTGTGTGAGCCACTGTCCTCTGGGACACTACGAGAACACATCGTCTCGTCGGTGTGGACGCTGCCATAAAGGCTGTGAGAGATGTGTTGGCCCGTCTGCTGGTGACTGTCTCTCCTGCAGGAGAGGCCTGTACCTCAATACACTCAACTCCAGCTGCACCAGAACCTGCCCCTCAGGTTACTTTGCAGATGAGAGTGAGTATGATATGCACAGTCAGACAAAGTTTCTTGGCCCTTTACTGAGTTTCGTTAGGTACAGGACATCCAGGTTTTAATGCACTGACCTTATTGGCTGGTTGAAACTATGATCAGGATCATGAGGGAATTACTGTAGATTTTGTGAGATTACAACCAAAGCTACACCATAGATCTATCTCAGGGCCAACACAGACACATACATATAACACATATATTGTATAACAGACAAGTACAAAAACACACTGACACCGTAAGTCACTTTAACATCTCTAAACATTCTTTATTGCATTGTGTTTGTGACAGATCAAAGACAGTGTGTAATGTGTCATGACACCTGTGCAACATGTCAGCGACAGGCAGACAAATGTACCGCCTGCAGCAAAGGCTACAGGTATGTAGACAGACTGTCTTTTAAACATTTACGTAAATTTTGGCTTCAAAAGAACTTATTGTTAAAGCTTTATTTCTCAGTCTGGCAGGGATGACTTGTGTTCCTGAGTGCAACAACGGAACCTTCTTCCATCTGGAGGAGATGTCCTGCAGCCCTTGTCATTCGTCTTGTAAAACGTGCACAGGTCAGTGTAATTGCTGTACTAATCCTTAAAACGTAAACTTTGTTTTATGAGATCCGGGAATGCAGCATCCTGGCTTTTATCTGTCCACATTTAATTGTGTGTTTGCTAGGGCCGGCTGAGGAGGAGTGCATTCAGTGTGCTGATGGCTATGTGCAGCAGGAATGGAAATGTGTACAGGCCTGTGCTCCTGGATACTACTCTGGAAAAACAGCAGGACTTCCTCACAAGATTTGTCACAGGTTACTAATTTATCTCAGCATGCTTTACCACTCTAATGTCGATCAGCCTTAAGATTTTATGACCACGGACAAAAAAGCACTGAGGAAAAAATGGTGAAAACTGAATAGTATATGCATGTTGATAGTTGCATAGACTATTCATGCATGTGCTGAAATTTTTTTTTTATTTTTATAAATGTTTTATTTTTAATTAAATGAAAAAAAAAATTACAGAGTTTGCTAGGGGTCATTGGGGAATTTCTTTTTTTCTTTTATGTTATGTTGTGGTACGGTGTTTGTGCATTCTGAAGGTAATTGTAACATTTTGTATTAACTGTACTGAGTATGACTTTTATTTTGAAACATCCGGTTACCAAAACAGGACGTGTCACCACAAGCTAATGGTAATACTGCGTATCTGCATAGAGTTAAATATTTATGTAAATATATTATGTCTAACTCCATGAATGGTGTGAAATGTTTGTTAAAGCTTAATTAAAGTAAAGCCCCTCACGCAGTGATTGCTGGATATGGGCACCAGTGACCCTGAAAGGAAAAAGTGTTTTAAGCTAATGGATGGATGGATGGATGGATGGATGGATGGATGGATGGATGGATGGATGGACGGATGGATGGATTAAAGTAGTAACTCCTGTATATTGGTGCACATGTGAATTTATTAATAATCAGGCAGGCAAAACATCTTTGATTTTGGTGTGGAATGACTACAGAGAATTGACTTTAATAATCTTTTTCTCTATTTTTTTTAGTTTAAAGTCAAATATTTGGATTTTTAGTGAAGGTTTTCTTTTTTTTCCACCTGATTTGCTGGATTGTGAGAATTTTTTTCTCTAAGAAGCAATTAATAAAAAAAAGTTGTTGATAGAAAATAAGGCATATTAAATAAATACTTTCTAAATTTAATCTTTGTTCTTTATTCATTATTTATGTTCTAAACGCTACATATAACATACTTTAGAAAAGGTCATTTGTATTTCTACAAGAATAATTTGTTATATCACATTTCTTCAATAAATATTAAGAGAAATTGGACTTTGGTTTGGACCAAGTTATGAATTTTGGCCCCCTTCTGTAACTGAGTTTGACACTAAAGGATTTGATAGTTTATATTGTCTCTGAGTCATCTGCTGGTGTGTGTCTCCAGGTGTGAAGGATTTGATAGTTTATATTGTCTCTGAGTCATCTGCTGGTGTGTGTCTCCAGGTGTGAAGAGAACTGTTTAAGCTGCACTGGTCCAGGAACAACGTGCACCAAATGCAAAGCAGAATACATACTAGTCAGCAAGTCATGCATTATGAATTCACTGTGTAATGATGGTAAGTCTGCTCTYATTAAACTCTGATCAGCTTAATTCAACACTTCTCATGTGACATGGTGCATTTTCTCTGACCTCAAGCAGAACATTTGTTTAAGATTTGACCAAAAAGGCATAAAAAGCTYTAACTGCATTTCTGTTGGTGTCCCTTTGGAAACTGGTTTTCCAGTTTTGTGCAGATTTTAACCCAGATTAAGGCCTGTTCACCCATCCTGGGTGTGAATGCTTCCATTAATTGAGGATGCAGCTCAGTTATGTTAYCTGCCTCAGATCTTAATGTTTTTTCTAGATTATTCAGATTAAAKAGCACCTGCTTTTGATTTATATACATTTTGAACGCAGGTGTACTAACTCGTAGTATATTACTCATTGTTTTCTCTTTCTCCTGCTTGTCAGCTGATAAGGTCTTCTGTGAGATGGTGAGGTCCAACCGTCTGTGTGAGAGGAAGTTTTACAGACAGTTCTGCTGCCGCACCTGTATGATGAACAGATGACACCACAGCCCAACACCTATTATTTCATTTTTTATTCCATATCCTTGCCACAAAAAGAGGCAATTTTAAATGTTGCAGGGCAGTCTGACTTAGATTTTTTTAGAAATGTGCTTTTAAATCTAATTGTACCATTCATCAAAACAGGACATTTATTTTAGAGTCTGAGGAAACTTCAACTCATTTTCCTTCCATTTTATTTAAAGCAAGTTACAATGTCTGAAATGTGTGCAAACATTTTGAACACAAGAGCTGGATTAAACATGGACTACACAATATTTTGCAGTTTTAAATTTTCCAGTTTGCAGATTTCTCTCACATGTAGGAAGGATTGGAACTGGCACACAGAAATTTTATATTTGTGTATTTTTTTTGAACCAAAACTGCTCAAATGGTACATCAAACACAATTAAATTGTCTATTTTTAGTCAACTCATTTAAACACAATTCAATAAATATATTTTAAAAAGACAATAACAGTTTCACTTTTTTCTGGTTACAAAGTATTTTGCTATATTCATCTCCTGAACAGTGTTGGTGGCGAACCACTCCCTCCTCCCCGCTCCCCTGAGACACCGGAGACCAGAATCACCTTGAAGCCGTACGTAAGTCTTTTTCCAAGGCCTCAGAACTCCTCTCACGCCCGAGTTTTTGCCTCAGCGACCACCCGAGCCGCAATCCGCTTGGACTGCCAATACCCATCGGCTGCTTCTGGAGTCCCACAGGCCAAAAAGACCTGATAGAACTCCTTCTTCAGCCTGACAGCATCCCTCACTGCCGGTGTCCACCAGCGGGTTCGAGGGTTTCCGTCATGACTGGCATCGACAACCTTACAGCCACAGCTCAGATAAGCCGCCTTGACAATGGAGGTACGAAACATGGCCCACTCGGACTCAGTGTCCCCCACCTCCCCCGGAACATGTTTGAAGTTTCCCAGGAGGTGTGAGTTGAAGCTCCGTCTGACGGGAAACTCTGACAGACGTTCCCAGCAGACCCTCACTATACCTTTGGGTCTGCCAGGTCTGACCGGCATCCTCCCCCACCAACGAAGCCAGCTCACCACCAGGTAGTGGTCAGTTGAAAGCTCCGCCCCTCTCTTCACCCGAGTGTCCAAAACGTGGCCGCAGATCAGATGAAACAACAACAAAGTCGATCATCGAACWGCGGCCTGGGGTGTCCTGTTGCCAAGATCACATATGGACACCCTTATGCTTGAACATGGTGTTCATTACGGACAATCCATGATGAGCACAAAAGTCCAATATCAAAACACCGCTTGGGTTCAGATCGAGGGGGGGGCATTCCTCCCAACCACGCCCCTCCAGGTCTCATTGTCATTACCCACATGAACGCTGAAGTCCCCCAGCAGAACGAGGGAGTCCCCATTAGGAGCGCTTTCCAACATCCCCTCCAAGGACTCCAGAAAGGGTGGGTAATCTGAACTGCTGTTAGGTGCATAGGCACAAATAACAGTCAGGACCCGYCCCCCCACACGTAGGCGGAGGGAGGCTACCCTCTCATTCACCAGGGTGAACCCCAACGTACAGGCACCAAGCTGGGGGGCAATAAGTATGCCCACTCCTGCTCTCAGCATGGGTAACTCCAGAATGGAAGAGTGTCCAGCCCATCTCGAGGAGACTGGTTCCAGAGCCAGAGGGGTGCGTCGAGGTGAGTCCAATTATATCTAGTTGAAACCTTTCAACCTCACACACCAGCTCAGGCTCCTTCCCCACCAGAGAGGTGACATTCCATGTCCCTAGAGCCAGCTTCTGTAGCCGAGGATCGGACCTCCAAGGTCCCCGCTTTCAACCACTGCCCAACACACAATGCACCCAACCTCTAYGGCCCCTCCCACAGGTGGTGAGCCCATGAGAAGGGAGACCCACGGACCTCATACCACCACGATATGTGGTACTTACAGGTTAACTACTGGGTACATATGAAGTACCTCCTTACAGGATATCCACAGTGTACTTACGGCATAGATGTCCAACTCATTTTCACTGAGGGCTACATGAGCATCATGGTGGTCCTCAAARGGCCTTTTACATATAATTAACTTCAACATTTCATGTTTAACTTCGACTAAACAGAAAATGTCACATTCCTTGTCTTGTTGCTGCAGCTGAGCACCACTAACAAACAATAACTGAGCTCTACAAGGTATTTCCAGCAACAGTGTTTCAACATGTTGTATAAACACTGAAACTACGACTGACTAAATGTGAAATAAATAATCTACAAATGCCATTAAAAGTAAAATTAAAAAGTTTTGCTCATTGTTGAGTTGTGGTTCAGCTGCCATCTTGAACTCTGAACTCTCCCACTTTCCTAAAAGGAATTCCCAGTGGAGGGGTGTTCCAGTTTAAATTTAAAACTTGTAAGTGGTAAATTACTACTTCCCATTACAACTGGCAGCAGCAAAATTAGCTGTGAAAATGCAGTGAAATTGAGATTTTTCCACAGCAAATTCTGCAGATTACTCTTGAACCCCGTGCACCTCCACCTAGTGGTGGGAGGCCAACATTTCACAAGTAAAATGATCAACATGCATTATGGGAGATGTAGTTAAAGTCGATGCTGGCTTTAAAGCAACATAGACATTAGTACATCTTTGAAGCTCGTACAGGGAGCGTACAAGGTTAGATGCAGTGTGTCAACAGGATACAGGTTTGGTCTGCAGGTAAGTGCTGCAGTAAAATGATGAGCAGTGTTCATTCATCTATGGTCACAATTTTATGGCTGCATGTTTTTCCATCAATGTGTGGCAGCAGATCACAGCTTTGCTGAAAGATCACTTTTCCTTTTTTCTGTCACATTCTTGTTTAAAGCACAACAAAATATTGTAAGTATTTTCAGAGTCAGCCTGAGTTCGACAACTACTGTATAGTTTCCTTGTATTGTTGGCTGTGAACATGCCTTAGGCTTCCCTGCAGTTCACTGAAACCCTTTTTGCTGTAAAGATAATTTTGGATGAAACGATTCTTCTTTAAGACTTTTGTCAGCACAACACAGAATAAGTTGTTTCACCTGTAACAAACCAGGAATTCGATGATGGTTGAAAAAGTTCAGAAGGCAGATGTCTTTATCCTGACTCCAGGTTTTATCTCTGCAACAAGTTCAATCAAATACAGATTTATGGCGTTGCAAACTACAGTATAAACCACCAGAAACATGTTTGAAGTTAACTGAGTAAAACTTGGCAGCTTTAAAAACATATTGGATTTATCAATCTGAGGCTGAATCAGATTTCTACACAAATTATAATAAAGACTAAAACATATTTAGAATTTTTTTTTACTAATATTCAGGGAGTTAAAAAAATCATGAGTTTTTTGACTAAATTAATACCCCACCAATAGCAGTTTCATAAATCAGACACTTTGGTCTCCAATTCGTTTCTACAGTAAACAAAATAGAAGCAACTATGGGGTTCCATTTGTTTCAAAAATACGTAGAACTCTAACGTGTAGATGTGTCGTTGCTATGTGTCGTTGGTCTATGT